AAAATTTTTCCCTGAAAGATTGGATTACTTTTTAAAATTTGAATCCTGAAAATGTTCATATCGTTGAAATATCACAGAAAATTTCTAAAAAACATATTGGAAAGTTGAAGTAAAAATTTCTAGCAGTGTGCCATCTAATATGATCCTCTCGTATATTTTCACAGTGAGAGTTTCTCGTTTCAAAGGCCCAGATCCGATGTTCCAGTATGCACCAACAGTTTGAATTAGATTTCGTCATGTCTCCCATCACCAACTCTATCAAACATGTGCACATTTAATGAAATAACCACATTGACTATTGACTCTCAAAGATAGCTCGCCTATACCCAAATGACATGAATTACACAGGGGATTCCCTTCGATCGTTCCTTATCTCATTTACCAGGATTTGGAGTATTACCCAAGTACTCACCCTGGAGGGCGCCTCACGCTTAATTCCATCTCCAGTGGATCCCAAAACCCACTTGTTTGCGTATCCGTGAATCGAATGCAATCCGTTTAGGCCAGTGGGAACAAATCCAAACTGCATTTCGATCGGTTCTTGATGACTCTAGGTTGACCGGTGGGTGGGCAAGGGGTTGGTTAGACCACACGAGGAATATCCCTGTAGCATATCATCATCCACGTAGAGGCCCCCAATGCTTCATTGACCATTTATTTAACAAAAAAGTTTATGCACTCTCAAGAAAATACCATTGATCAGAACAAAAGGTTCTTTGACCACACTATTGCAAAATTTAATTTCTCTGAAACTCTTCATTGACGAATCAATTTATTTTTTCAAATACCATGATAATTCTCAAAGGGTTATCCCTGAATTTTCAATTAATTTTCGACAACAAGAAAATTTCTGGGCATAATTAAAATATCTAGCAATTATAATTTTTTTTTTACCCACGAGACAATTAAATAATAGCCATGGAATTATACGATAATTTGGAAAGTTTCCAGTAGGTAAATTCTAAAATCAAGAATTATCGGGATGCAGTAATTTTCGCTTGAAGTGGGAATTCTACTTTTTTGTGAATCCTCAATCCCTTGGTTTTACAGCTGACTGACTCCCTGTTGCCCCGCCATTTTTAAATCTGACACACGTCCACAACCACGATTACTCCACTTTGAATAATTAATTTCTCGCTAATTATGGGAACACTATTTTGACATTGTTCATTAATGGTGCGGTACCCATGGACGTCCAGTGTAAACTCTTGTTGACAGGCTGCGGACGAATTGAGGGGATGAGCCGGGGAGACTGGAATCCCCAGAAATATATGACATACGGTCATAAATTCACTGAATTTCACATGACATTAAACGAGTTACGTTTGCATACTGGGTATGCTTTTGACATATTTCACTGCACCCCTTAAACATTTGCGCAAATACTACTTGACAAAACATTGCAGGAAAATACTTAATGCTGGTGTGGCGCTGGGTAAATAGTTTTTGGCGGTAGTTTTTGGGAAGTTGTGTAACTGATGGGTCTGGGAGTTTGTTCATCAAGTGTAATTGATATTGCACCCATTGGATTTGCTTGTTTTTTCAAGGGCTTTTGAAATGGCAATACGAGACAAAAATTAAATCCCCGCTGTTTCGAGAGTTAACAACATTTTTCGTAAGAGTAACATTCAAAAATTGTCGTTGAAGTTCCAGATCATTCGCGGGTTTTTGAGAGAATGAGATGAGATTTCACATTGGATCAATATTCGCTCATCCGTTTAATCTCCATGTTTATAGAAAAATCAGTGGATATTTGATTTTCCAATGACCTCATTTTCTGAAATTTCCGGGGAAATTCGATACGATAAAATTTCCCGGGTCAGCCCTAGCAATTGTAATTGTTACTTTATGTTCTGCAATTATAAAGACCGGATTTATATTACATCCGAGAATTTTGTTGGAATTGTAAAAAAAAATGTAGGTTCCAGACAGATTGATGTTTTAAAATCAAAAATATTTTTCAAAGGAGACTGATATCTGATTAAAAAGAGACACGAGTGATCCATCATACATGAGTAGCTAAGTACTCCCTCAAAGATGTTAATACCTTCACTACGACACAAAGTCCCGAAATCGGCTTACATTTTTCCGCAAAAAAGAAAATTATCGACAACTCTAGAGAGCCTTCATAAATTCTCAATATTCCTATAGATTTCTCTCATCACAACTCCATTCCTCTCCCAAGTTATTTTCAATCCCTGGAGAGCTGGTATTCACTCCAATAGCCTCGGCAAAATTGAAAAGTGCAGTTTGAAACCTTTAAATCGTACCAGAGAGTACTTATCGATACACTCCCCGTTGTCATGGTGAAATCCGCACCGGAAACTGACGCGTAACTCCCCCAATTTCCATTGCCTTCATCACTTTTCCCCCCAGAAGATTTCAATCAATCGTAGACATTTCGGATGAAAAGCGACAAGTGACTGATGGTAACAATCCTAAATTCCCATTTTTATTCAATACAAAAATTCCACCTTCTACATACAAATATCACCACAATCGTCAAGCTGAATTTCGGAGTAATATTCAATAATATTTAATTTCCGAGATTACCAAAGTGACACAAAAAATGAAAGTAGCCATTATAATTCTCCCCAGGAATTTCATATAAAAAAACCGGAAATCTTTAAAAACATTTGGTACCAGTTTCATGAAGTTGGTCAACCGCATTTTGCTCTGAAATTATGGAAGCCACGGGAGAGAGAGGTAATTTTGATTGAATATTTCTCTCCTTGCGCATACAAATTTCCCAAGAATCGCGAGTCTGAATCTCTGAGTAATATTCAGATTTCCGGCACGCCTGATACACTCGCCCAATCTAAACCAGGGGAGGTATTTTAGATGCTGCATAATATCTCTAATAACCCTCATTACCCCTCCACCTGGTCTCAAACGTAATGCGTTCTCGCAGAAATTGTTGCTAATGACACCAGAATTGCATTCTCCCCCTCGATGAATATGTAATAAACTGAACCCTCATCCCTGCTGTGTATTTTATGGATATTTAATGTATCACATTTAATGCTACTCAGCTGTCATCTACAATTACATCAATACGAGTACCAATTTCTGGAAGTTATACGACCTGCATGAGTCAAAGTCGCAAGGGCTTAATACCACTCCAGAGTGATAAACCAGAAGCGCGTGGAATCGTGAAGAGTCATTCGCGGTTTTCATTATAAAATTTCCACCAGTTCGGGTAACTGCGTGTTGCAGTGTTCCATCGCGATAAGAGTTTTCCATCATGAAATCCTATGTCCGTAATTCTTCCTATCGTCCAAAACCACCGATATACATTTTCCGTTTATCTAACGGAATTCAGCTCCCACCAGCCGCTACCAGAGAATTCAAAATCATTTGCACTGGAGACAATCCCTTTCGTCATAAAAGAAAAATGCAGCATGAAAAATGCAACATGAATAAACAAAATTAACAATTTATATTATACATCTATATATGATAATAATAAAAAAACATCGGTAAATAGCGAAACGAATAGTTGAATGAAAATAAAAGCGGATATTTCCACTTTGTCGTTTCTTAGTTATTAATTACGGCCTCCATGGACTCCATTCCATTCTCATCACTGCTAAAGTTCGAAGGTGTTCCAAGTTTGCATGTAAATGACTCGTAATTAAACAGTTAATTGTTTTGTTTAATTCGAGGTTAAATTTCTCTGCTATTTTAATGACAGCACTCACAACCTTCCTCCTATCAACTTCTCAAACAAGGAAAGTTATTCTTGAATTAAGACCAGGGGATTCTCTATTTCAAAGACAATGCACGGGAAAACAATCCCTTCAGTGCATATTATGACTCCAATCGAGTTTTTCAGAATTTCTGTTTTTTATTATTTTTTTATTGAAAATTTAACAGATCCAACAAATTCTTTTTGCCATTCACAAAAAACCAATTAAATTTCAATTAAAATGATCAATTCCTGATCGTGAGCACCTTTCGCCTAAAAACTGCATTACTACGGGAATTATTTACCCTATCATCATTTATTATGATTATTGTTATTCCAGGGATTATCCAAAATTTCTATCAGTTGATTCATACACTTGATTGTCTTTCGATTTAGCGGGACCCGTGAGTGGATCCATGAGTGCGTCTTTAAGTTTCACGTATGGATTATTTTTATTCTATCGAAAAATCGTGTCGAGCCATGAATAAGCAATTTACCATAAATATCACCTTTTATTTAACAATTGTATGAGTACCTTTGGCCAGTCCTGGGGATAGTCGCTCGAGTGGTACCCTTTCCAACCCCCATAACACATCGAACCGCGTGGTGACACAATATATTGACTGAGGGTGGATTGTGCGCCCCGACTGATTTTCCGCGGCTGCGCAAATCCATTCTCCACTCCTGCGGGCTCTTTACAGTGGGATCCCCCTTCCTCTGGGGCACCGTAGATTCACCCCGACGCCCGACGCCGTTTGTTCCTCTGTTGTGCTCCTGCTAAACGGCTCCGAGCTCTCCGATCTCTCGTGTGTGCTGTTGCCCTTTCTCCACTCACAACCATTCAACCTCACCGCTATTTCCCCGCCCATCCAACTCTTTTCCCACTTGTTCATGCACCCCTCCGACTCTTTTTTTTTTCCTTCTTGTTATCACTCCTAGTCTTTTTTTTTCCGCGCACTGAATGCTCACTCCGTTACATCCGTTGGCGATGAAAACACACCAATGACAGGTGACGTATCAGTGCATTAAACGGGAGACACTTGTTTCTCGGACTTTAAACAGTGTTGGCACCATGAGTTTAACAATGAGTTTTTATCACTAACAAAGTTTAAACAGTGAGTTGGTGTTGGGGAGTGCATGAATGTGCGCTATACTCTGGAGCTTTTCAGTTTGTGTTTATGGTGGCCGGAAGCTGTGGAACATCAGTGAGACACCAGTCAGGGGTGAACGCAAGTGTTGATTCGCTGTGGAGTTTGGCTTGTCTAATGGACATTCCATATTATCGTCTGGCTAACAGTAATTACGGTATTACATGGGTGATTGTGGCAACTGATTGAATCACCATTTTGTTGGCTCACTGTGGCCAAGTGAAGTTCATGGCTTTTTTCTGGTTGTGATCAATGTGGTTTAATGGTTGATCCGCTCAAACTATTTTGGGTGATAACCAACAGCACGTACCTTGGTATGTTTCATTAGTTTTCTATTTATTGGTGTTTGAAGGGATCATTTTTTCTCGGATTCAAC